CAAACAACAAGATACCAAACCTAGACGCCCTGGAAAACCTGGGAAATCAATTGCGGTTCGTGACGACTCTGCCATAATCATGAACCTTATTGACAACCCTGAACTTCCTCTCAGTTTGCAGGACAAAAACGATAGGATGCTCTGGGGAGAATTAAACAAGAGGCTTGAACTCCCTAGAATAGAGCCTTTGACCGTCACACGGCTCACTCGGGGGAAGGACTCTAACCACCTAAACCATCCGAGGCTGCTTCGTGTTACACTTAAGAATGCCTCCGACCTAGAGGACATCCTGCTTGCCAGTCACTTACTGAAATCCGATGGGAACGTAAGAATACTGCCCGACATACCGTATTCTGAACGAAATCTCATCCGGAACATCCCTAAGGAATCTCGTGAGGCGTTTTTCCGTGGACGAAATATCATTGTGCAAGGTGTGCCGGGAAATACGGACCCAACTCAAGCAAACTCTGATATTCGGGAATGGAAATTCATCAAGCATTCCTTAAAACTCAAGAACATATTGACCCAACAGGTAATGCGACTGGCCAAGAGAGACGGAGACTCTAGGCCCCGGCTGCTGAAGATAACTTTCCCCTCCTCCCACATGGCGGCTTTGTCAGCAAAACGGAGCTACGATATCCTACTAGCAACAAGCGCTGGAACTTCAAACGGTTGAATGTGTTAGTTTTACAGGACTATCTACAACAGGTGGATTGGGATGTTCACCCTCAACTTGAAGTGGATGCTCATTGGGATTTTTTACTGCACACGATCTTATGTGCTACTGAGCATTCAGTTCCTAAAATGGTCCCAAAAAGCTACAAGCAACCTCCAATCATCAAGAACCGCACTCGTCGTTTGCTAAGTCGCAAAAGGCACTGTTGGGCTGAATATAAACGAACTGGTAACAACGGCACGTACAGGCAATACAAACATATAAGGAACATATGCACAAAGGCAATAAGAGAAGACAGGCTTCAGTTCCAGACCAAGCTTATCGATAGATTCGTCTCCAATCCGAAAAGCTTGTTCAGTTATGCAGCTTCTCTTCGACAAGGCAAAACTGGAGTTTCCCAACTGCTTGGTCCTAATGGCCCGACCAACAACGACAGTGATGCCGCTAACCTTTTGGCTGAACAATACTCCCGGACATTCCAGCTGACCCACATCAACCATACTGACGAAAGCTTCACCTGCACCTGTACAGGACTTTCCGAAGTGGACCTGAGTACTGACCTGGTGCTCCGTAAACTGCAGAACCTAAGAAAAGACACTTCTCCTGGTACGGACATGGTTCATTCCGCTGTATTGAGGGAAGCAGCTTCAATCCTAGCGACACCACTTAGCGTGTGTTTGCACACTCGCTAAGCAGAGGCAAACTACCGGAAATATGGAAGCTGGCCCACATCACACCAATTTTCAAAGGAGGTCGACGCAGTGAACCCTCAAGCTACCGATCAATGGCCCTTCTCTCCATACCTTCCGAAATTATGGAATCCCTAATATACGACGGTATACAAGAATACTTATCATCCTCAAAGTTCTTCTCACCTCAACAGCATGGTTTCATGAAAAGGTCATTCTTGTATGACCAACCTGCTGACTGCAGTGGATAGATGGACAACCATCCTTGGTCGCAAGGGGAAGGTTGACGTCATCTACCTGGACTTTTCAAAAGCTTTTGATAGGGTCAACCATGCATGTCTTATCAAGAAGCTTGGACGATTGGGTATAAAACCCCCTTTGATTGATTGGCTCTCTTCATATTTAGAAAACCGACACTTTAAGGTCAGGGTTAACTTCACTCTCTCTCAGGCTATGGAATGTTCTAGTGGGGTACCCCAGGGTTCAATACTAGGACCTCTTCTCTTCTTGATTTATATTAACGATCTTCCTCAACAAGTTTCATCTGACTTATTGCTTTTTGCTGATGATGTGAAACTTTGGAGAGAGATACGTAATCATAATGATATACTAGTTCTTCAGGAGGATCTGACTCGACTTCAAAGTTGGGCAGACGACAACGGACTTACCTTCAACACTTCAAAGTGCAAGGTAGTCCATCTGAGACATGTTGCAGACTATAGTTATAACTTGGGTAACTCCCCTCTAGAAGTTTCCCAAGTCGAAAAAGATTTAGGAGTGTTGGTACCCTACGACCTGAAATCGTATGCGAACTGTGACAAAAACGCCTCTCAAGCAAACCTTGCACTGGTAACATTGAAGCGCATTTTTGGCCAGTTTGACGGTAGAACCTTCCATATAATCTTCAACAGTTTTATTCGTCCCCATTTAGAGTACGGAAACATAGTATTTCCTCCCTCCCTCCCTCCCTCCAAAAGGATAAGGACACTCTGGAACGTATACAACGTCGAGCCACGAAATCAGTTCGGGGTCTCAAATTCAAACCTTATGAAGAGCGCCTCAAATCACTTAACCTTTACCCGTTAGAGTACAGGCGTCTTAGAGGTGATCTTCTTATGACTTATAGTATCCTTAATACTTCTGGTCATCCCCTTAAACAGCTTCTTAAGCTTAGTCATAACACTAACCTCAGAGGTAACACCCAGAAATTGGAGACCCTACATAGCAGAACAGACTGCAGACACAACTTCTACTCCGTTAGAGTTGTCAAGTGCTGGAATTCGCTGCCGACTGAGCTAGTCCAAGCGACCTTCCAGGAGTCCTTTAAGAGGAAACTTGACTTATTCTTAAGGACTAAGGATAACATATTATTATGATTTACCAAACTCTTTTTTTTCTCTATTATCGTTCATATACCTAGGTTCTTACCTGGAGGTATTGGTGATTCACTGCTACTAGACACGGAACCTCGTTAAGCGAAAGCTTCTTCTATTCCGTCCACAACCATTTGAACCATATGTTTTTGAAGTGAGTGAAACACTGCGCTCCAATACTCTGAGTTGTCCTGAATAAAACTTGGAGATTAGGTGGGAAGCGATACCATCGGACTGGTCAAGGTGAACTCCAGATTGACTGGTAATGGGTTTGCTGTGAATGCACTTTTTCACTACGGACGTATGTTCTGAGATCTTCAAGAACCTATTATTCAGGTCTGGTCTAAAATGAACCGTGAGTCGTAGGGAGAGGTGCAAAGTATCTTTACTAGATCGGATACTAGGATCCCGAAGCCACTGAGTGACTAGAGGTCAGTCGAATTGTCCCTAATAGACGGTGGTTGGAGGTAGTCGATAGGAAACACTTGACTTGTTGGGTCTCCTAGTCTACTCGCCACATTGCGACTTGGTTGATGGGATTCGATCTGCACTAAGAAGGACCTGACACACATGACACTGATCATCACCCATCGATCTATCAATTGTAAATTGTACTTATCTTCTAGCATACAGAAGAACGAAATGTGATCTAATCACCGTCCTCAGATCACTTAGTGATGGCTCCATATCTGACAACAAACATGGCAGCTATCCTACTACTGTTATTGGGTGTTTGTCTATGGTGATTGGTAGACCAACCGCGCATGTAATTCCTGAGCTAGTCGGAGGCTCTCACAACGGACTGTTCATTATGTTGGGTGACTGCATTCATTCTGCTCGAAAGCGTGTCGGTCATGTTCTCTTATCATTAGATGTTTCGATAACTTAGTCACCGGTCGAACACACTTCATGTAGAGACTGTCGTATAACTGACTGGGGAAGTGTCTGAGCACTCCTCAGAGAACTCTTTGACAGGGTGGGCACAAGAGCTTTGATGTGTATGAATAATGGGATTCCCTAAAGATACCATTCTGCAACCCATTGATTGACATACTCTCCTTCCCCGGTCACAAGCTAGACCCTTTAAGAACGTCCTCCTGGCCATAGTCTAGTCACATTACCCTGTGTGATACTCTAGGTGTCCCTGCTCATCGACATTGTGCAACCAATAAGGCACATCCTGTCTTTTTTCCTTCCAAAACATTAGGTAACCCGACTCCAGGTTTATTTGAAACAATTTTCAGTGCTCGTTCGGAATCCAATCTAGAAAAAATTCCCTTATCTCAAGAGGCACCTTGCATTCTTGGGATGCTCTCAAAAATGTGTAACCAAAAAGTTACGTAGACCAAGAAATAAGTCTTGCTTATCTCTCATGGAGGTCTAGATCTGCAACCTGCATAGTACTGAAGAGTAGGGGGATGCAATCATGGCATGTCGCGTCGTTCTCCATTCCAATAGATAACTCATTCAATTTAGTGCCAAACTACGTCCAAGAGGTTATCGATGTGAGATAGAACACGAAAGGACGTGCACAAAAATCTGTGTAAACGTCTTCGTGGTTAGAATCAACAAGCTGTGGAATTCCCTATGGAAAGCGATGGTTCTCTCACCTTCTGTCGGGTCTTTCAAAAGAGGGCTCGACCTTTACTCTAGTTCTGTAGTTGCCGAGGGAGATTCCGCTAGATGTCACTACTCAGTCAATACTCCAATTGGTGACCAATGCATTCGCCTTTCAGTTTTAGAAGGAACATAACGAGAGTCATACTTATCCGCAGTCATACACGCTTTCCTACCATCCAGACGCTGATCTCAATCGATAAATAATTCACTATTTCTGTTCAACAAAATTTGAAGTTTTAACTCAGTTGATTAACAAGACTGTCAGCATTATTCCATTAGTAAATGGTCGGTTGATGACCGTCATGACCGTTAGACTCATATTGTAGCGAGTTTGAAACACTCAGTGCATGCTACGAAATCGTTCAGTTATCTTCAGCACGTCCACAAACTAGTGATTGCTGGCACGACTCCCTCCAGACTTCATGGGACATTGAGCAATTGATCAACCTATATGATAGTGACAGGCACAATCACAAGTATTTTATTTTGTCGAGAAAAATATCCAACAAAAACCGAAACGAATGTCCAGGGCGCATGTGAAGATATTTGTGTTTTCCGATCTTTGTTTTAATCACTTTGTGGTGAGGTTACATCCGTTTGCCATACTGTTAGTTCATACTGTCTGTTTTCGTGGCTGACGAGATGGGTAGGCGTAACTCTGAGAACAATGATCGTCGCACTGAACAATTCCGCAAGCTGTTCATTGGAGGCTTGACTCCTCTTACTACAGAAGCAAAACTGAAGGACTTCTATTCCCAGTGGGGCGAAATTGTGGATGTTGTGGTGATGAAAGATGGTCGTACCAACCGCTCCCGGGGCTTTGGTTTTATCACCTACAAGGAACCAGAAATGGTGGATGCTGCTCAAGCTAATAGACCACACGAAATTGATGGTAAAACGGTCGAAGCCAAGAGAGCCATGCCGCGTGAGGATTCAAATAGTCCCGAGTCCCATATGACTGTGACGAAGCTTTTTGTTGGTGGCTTGAAAAAGGATGTAACTCATGAAGAACTGCGCGAATATTTCAGCAAGTATGGTAACATCACCGAGTGTGAGGTTGTTGCTTGGAAGGAATCAGGCGAGTCACGCGGTTTCGGCTTCGTCACATTTGATGATTACGACCCTGTTGATAAAGCTATACTGTATAAACCACACCATATCGGGTCCAGTAGGGCGGACGTGAAGAAGGCCCTCAGTAAGGAGCAGATCAACACGATGAAAAAGAAACAGGAGTCTCGAAATGACTACAATAACAATTATGGTGGTGGTGGTGGCGGTTATGGACCGATGGGTGGAGGCTATGGAGGGTATGACGGAGGTTACGGGGGTTCCTACGGAGGTGGTCCTTATGGCGGATATGGCTCAAACGGTGGTGGCGGTGGCGGTGCCTACGGGGGTGGAAATTACGGAGGGGGTTGGGGTCCTAATCACATGAATGGAGATGGTCCTGGCTGGGGTCAGGGAGGAATGGGTGATGGATTTGGACACTATGGAAACCAGCAAAACTATGCCGGTGGTCCAATGCGTGGTGGTCCACCCGGGGGTTACCAGAGGAATGCTCCCTATGGAGGTAGGTTTATATTCTATCCAAACTAATCTGTCTTGTACATAGGGGGCTATGGTCGTCGTTAATTTCAGTCAGGTAAGAATTTCCTAGTATGAGCATGTTTTCAACGTCTAATTGCTTCTTCATATCCGTTGCAGGGTTAGTATGGCCTCAACAGTTTGGTCTAGGCAGTTCTACTAGCAGAGGAGACAGAGTTGTCCTAGCGCCCCCAAGTTCTAGGTCAGCCAGCAGAAAGTCGACAGCCTGTCTATAGCTGAGGAGGCCAGGGATCCTATTATTCACTGTGTATATACTGTTAACTGTTAATTTTCACTGCATGTGCAATCGAGCGTTCTTTTTAACTATCATGTCCGTTGTGAGCTAGCATCCGGTCAAGAGTGACTTTCATCCTTAAGTGTAAAGTTTCGTATCATAAATTCATAAGCCCATGCAGCGTCCTTTTTTAACCCAGCTTTGTCACTAGTATTAAAGGAAATAAAAGTGTTCAAGCCAGTTAGTCTTTTGAGTTATGAGTTTTGTAATTGGTAGTGATGAGGGAGATGGATGCTTGTTGGGCGGGAGACGAGGTTGACTTACTAGGTCTTCCAGCCCTTTGTGTTTAGCAGGCCTGTCACTATGTCAGGTATTTGGAAGTGAGCAGTTTTAAAATTCGTTGTAGAGCCATAGTGGTATCCCGTAAATTTGGGTCCAGAAAGGCATGTAGCAAGGTCGAAACCAGAGTATCCATTCACTTTGTTCACAATTTTTGAGTGGTTTTGCAGATCTCGTGGTGCCCCTTGGAGGATTGACACTCGTCCGTGGCGTGGGACGCAATGGACTCGGGAACTTGTATGGTTGAACTATCGTTGTGTATGCTGTGATACATTATCAAAAATAAATTTACGGATTAATTCCGCATGTACAACTATCTTCCTTTTTGATTACGGTTGTGACTGGGTGAGTTACATGGGTTTGGGTGGACAAGTGGGACCAGTCGTTCCTTCCGCGCAACAGTTCGTTCACTGATTTATCTCGTACAGGGATTCACGTTCAGTAGCAATGGGTCGTTGATGCTTCTGTTTAGAGACCTGTGTATATGGAACAAGCAGGAGCATGGAAGAGTGCCTGTCAACTAGTGGGGTGTTACTTTAAATCACCGAGGGGATGTCGAGTTCCTTCAAAGATTTTCGTTAATCGTGGAGGGTTATAATAACAAGCGTCTTATAATTATATTTCCTCATTAGTGAGCTAATTTTGCGGGGTGTGCTGTCTATGGTCTTTCGTGTGACCTATACTGTTATCGTTCTTCGTGTTTACTGTGCTCCATTCGGGTGCATTTGTTTCCACAGGACATGCAATAATGTAAGCGTTCCAAGGTGCGGATTTTTTAGTGTGAACTTTATATAAAGACAAAGCAGTACTATATTCATAGCGAATGAGAACGTGTACATGATACAGTTGTGTTTGCTGATGGGTTATTTCGTTGGGTCAATCTATCAATCCCTTTTTTCTCCTCGATGGTGGAGTGGTTGCATATACTTTCACCGTCTGAGATAGTATACTTGTCATTGACAGTCTGTACGGTTAAAAGAAGTAACTTGTTACTCACTAGGATCAGATTGTGAATTTGGGTTGTTCTTGATCTATAGGTCCTATGTTTTGGGGTAAGTGTGAATGTTACACTTGGTCCACTTTCTGCATCAAGGCTTATATCATTGGTTGGTCATCATAATTAGTCGCTTAAGTTTTCCAGCCTTTAACTTGGGGTATCTAAGTTCTTCAAAAATAAACCTAGTGTTGTGCTCCGTGATTGCATAGCCTGAGCTAAAATAAGCCAGAATGTCACTCGTTTTCCGTTCCTGCTTTTTTCTCAAGTGGGCGGTAGTGAACATGTTTCGCCTCCGAATGATCGGTAATTTGAATCGGAGTGGGACTGAAGTGCTGGAGAGTTATACTCCCAATTATTTATTCACGCATAACATTATGCGTTAACCATATCACCTTGCTATCATGTTTTTCAGTCCGACAAACTGGTCTTTGCTAACTCGATGCGACACGGTCCTAAGTTTATTTTGTCAAGTTCCACCTTGCTAATGACTAGAGGGGTGGGTCTTCCATATTTCTGATTCCTTCGCACCTACATGCTTCTCACATGACAGCTAGAGTATAGTTTACTTATTGTGGAAGCTGAGTACGCTCGTCAGGAACCGAGGTCCACCTTGTATTATTGTGTCACTAATGTCATCTCAGTGAAAAATTGTGAGACATGAATTCCTGAGTCTCATGCGGTGTGAAGTTACTTTCGAGAATTCTTGGGCATATTAGTTTATGTAACATAACTTTGGATATGTTTTAGCTTCTTGCCGAATGTCAATGTTTGTAGCATCGTTATATATAGAAGTGAAGAAATAGTAGGTTTTATAATAGCCAAAAGCACATTGAACCGAAAATGCTGTTGGTGTGCAAACACACAAGTAAGACTGTTTTTATCTTCACTTGTCTCAATCACATTTGCTTATAGTAAATTGGATAGTGTTTAAGTCAATTTTGTTAGTTTCCGGCTAAAAATCGTTTTTCTTCACTTAATTTAGTAATTGTGACAATCTCTTACCGAGGTATTTGTTTATATCGAAGTTATTGTCTAATCATCTACGCATTGATGCTAGTCTGTTTCCCTAATGAAACTTGAAACCGTTCATCTCGTAGTAGTGTTTCCTGTTCAGTCTCTTTTCAAAATATTACTAAACTATAAGATGTTAACAATTGACTGAAAGTTTAAGACATAGATACGTAGGGTACCATTGAACTCTAGACAAGTAGGATTGTTGGTCCAGAGGGTATCAGTTAACTTGATGAAGGAGGTTTTTGCTCATGATTAGAATTTTAGGGATGCCGCGTTCTCTAAGCTGGATGGTATACTCGTAAAAACTAGAGAATTAAACACTCATTAAGTATTACCTATCAGTCTGTACTAAGAGCTTAAATGAGCGGAAATTAAATATTAATTCTGTTTAAAAATACCAACCATGACATCAAGAAATTTCTCTACATTCCACAGTATATATAGACAATATATCTTCTTAATAATAAGTGGTAAATATTTGGTGCTTTTTACTAAAATCGGTTGCCATTTAGTGCTTCATTGGCTAAAACCTATAACTTTTTAGAATATAAGTATATATGTATTCATGCAGTTTGATGAGAATAGCGTTAAGATGGCGGATTAGAAGAAAATGAAGATTCATTGTAATACGATTTTCATTTTTAATCACAAGTATGTCATTCATTGAATAAAGCAATCCCACCATACAATCTTTTTTATTGAGATCATGAATCGATTGGTATTAGATCACCGTTGAAAACCTGGAAGCACTGAACGGCCTTTTCTTCCTAGTATGGGAATCCTCAGCAGTGCGCATCGACGACTCCGCACGCGAGGCCGGAAGCCAGGACCTTCGGTCTCGCCCGCGAACGCTTAACCTCTAGACCACTGGGCCGACCCCCAACGGTGTTAATGTCTATGGACCACTATCTTCCATTGTCTGTGGTAGATACTTATTTCTACCTGACATGGATTAGCTCTGCTGGTCACGGCTTCCCTCTAGAACTCGTGGATGCGCACTGTGAGGAATCCCATACTAGAACGAAACAGCCGTTCAGTGCTTCCAGGTTTTTAATGGTGGTCTAACATCAATCTCTACAACTCCAAACTGATAATCATGCAATCAACTGGATATTTTATATCTAATCAAAATCTCTCCAATATTGTTCATGAAGTCAGTCAATTAGTTGTTCGGCTATTCTGTTGTCTAAAATTTATCCATTGGGCATTGGGAAATCAGTTTCCTAAATAAAATGGGACCAATGAGTTAAGTCGTGTCAGTAATTTATCAAATTGATTGAATCACCTAAAAAACCTGAAATTCATGAACTAATATAACGACTAAGGATTCAGTTGGTTCATAATAGTCTTTCAAATAAAGACATAGAGAGGAAAAAATCTTCAACGCCCTTAGTTGTCCTTATCATAATGTTTGGTCTCACAACTTGCAATTCATTTCCGACTTCAGTCTCTCCAACTGTTCACTTTTCTGATTGTATCCTGTTATAATCGTTTACTTATAGCAAGTACACTTTGTTCAAGTTTCCTAGTAATTCATGTTACTCAGTATAATAACTGCTGATTCTAAACATTTTGTAATTGATTATTGTAATGGTTGTTACACCTGTATTTAAGTCAATGATATATAACGGTTGTCTTTATATTATATTATTTTGTAGAAGGATACCGTTGCATGCCTTTATTCTAGACTTTGTTCTTATTCGTTCACACAGTACTGCTTTCGTGCTGCATTTATCTACCTTAGAACAATTTATTACTTATTTATTTAAGCACATATATATTGGTACAAAAGGGCACCAGGTACATATGCGCCACACACCTTAGAACAACTGCAATGAGGTTATCGTAGCGCGGCTTGTGTATAGTGAGGTGCTATGACTTCAGACTGCTTTAAGTTTTACATATTTTAGTACCCAGTAGTTGTTAGTTGTTAACTAGAAAAAAGTATACAGGCTACTATACCAACAGTAGTAAGAAAGAAGCAGAATTATTATACTGAGTGAAAACTTGTTTCTACTTTGCACGATGTTTAATCATTTGCATCCTTCTCCATAATTTGTACCAGTGAGACCATCTAAAACAGGAAAAGAGTGATTAAGCGATACATGCTTCTTTATATATGTTAGTATTTATCGTAGAAATATAAATCAAAGAACCATCAAGTAAGGAACAATTATAAAATAGACTGCTTCCAAGAATCATTTGTTAGATATTTCCCATCACATGAAAGATTATAAACAAGTTTGCATATTTCGGTTATAAATTTGTCTTCTTTATATCTGATTCTGATTTATATCCAGTATGATTTCCTGCACAGGATTTCTATCATGCAAACAATAAATCACCTTTCCACGTTAGACTAGTTCCTTGAGTCTTATGCTCGTAAAGAATATACATTTATAAATGACATAGTTGAGGCGTAATTCTTGTTTTTTTTAAAACAATGTTTAAATTCCATCAGTG